GCGTTTCCCATGACAAATTAAATGCCCGCGGTAACCACCAACCTTTTATCTTACCCTACTACAGCCACCCATCTCATCTCTTTCCCTTCGCCTATCCATTTTTGATTTAACCCTCTTTTGGCCGTTTACTTGCGAAGTTCTAACATATTTTATTTTATGTTGCTGATTTATAACCGAAAATCTCCAAAACTATGCATCTACTAAACCAATTTTGATAGAAAAAAAAGAGTAACCTGCAACCTCAAAACAACAAAATCGGTCAAGTAGTACTTGAGATTTCATTTAATTCACAAACATTTTCCTTACTGTATTTTTTTCTATAGTTTCATTTTGTCGATCGGTTTGCTATCATCTTCAACTCTACTCAGTCTACTCCATTATCACCTTTTCTTTTCATTTGCACATTATGCGTCGCATCCTGAGTCCTTTATTATACGGTGAATGTATTCCAGTCTTGGCCTTTTTCTATGATTTTTTCTACGCTTCCTTTTATAATTAATCATTATATGTGTCATATATATATGACTTATTCGTTCATTCCGTTTTCTTACTATATTTTTTCATAATAGATTTCCCCGTGTTATTCTTTCAATTACTTCTTATTGGTTATACTGTCCATCCGGCATTCTTCTATAACCTCAAAATTCGAATGATTCTATTATTTTTCGTTCCCCGCTGATACTGTCTTGCAGATTTTACACCCATATAGGGTTCTACACGTGTATATTTACTATATTCTATCTAATTTCTAGGCTGATGATCTTTGAAATAAGTAGAGTCTTCTTGTTTCTAAAAACTACGTTTTCTCATTTCGCTCTAATTTTTTCCATCTTTGCCTTTTGTGCTTCCTATGATTACAGAAATTTATCTACCTATGATATCTATCAGAGGGTTTCCTCACTGCACTCCGGTCTTTAAAACGGTATAAACTACTTATTTTCTGTGTGCATATATACTTACGCGTTAATGTTTTTTGGACGATATTATCGATTAAAATATAGGTGAATATTTGCGAAACGTTGAAAACCGTTTCGGGAAAAAAAAAAACTCGTTAGAAGCCATAAAAAATATTACAACGACCAGATATAGGCGTACCAGGTTCGCGTCTGTTCGTATAGGTAATTTACGACGCATTCGGTCGCATTTTAGACGCTGGATCCACGAGGGCGGTTATCCTCCGAGAATAACCTCTAATAACCTAACCTAACCCGACTAACTACCTATATATAAAATGCGTATATACATACGCGTACAAACCGTATTTTGAGTACTCGTGTAAATTGATATTATTTAATAGGTTATTATAGGTGTACCCAGCAATATACTCGTTATTAGTTACGACCGGTTAATTGATAATGCGTCGATTATTATTAATGACCACAGTTTCGGATAACTATAATAATGTTAACGCCGGCACCTATACATGCAACAAAGTCCGTGTCGAACGAGGTGAAAAAAAAAACGACATCTCTTTTGTTCGGTTAATTATTTTTTTTTTAAAAATCAACTATACCCAGATTAATTTAATACATAATGCATCGAGACTCATCCGTGGTTTTAAGCCCCGATCCGAAGACTGTCGATCAGTGGCGTAGCCGCGCTGCCGAATTGAGACACGGGCGGAGACATGAGAGCGAGAGGAATTTTTACTCCCCGACAAATTTAGAAAAGTGTTTTTATCAACATGCGTTACGATAACACTTTTAACGAGAATGTATTAAAACATAAACTCAATAGGTATTGTAATAAGAATATCATTATGGCATTGTATTGTTAGCGTAGAAAAAGCTTCACAAGTGGACAAGCTCCGTGAGCACGTATACCGAACCTTCACATGGACTTTTGGACCCGCCCCCCAGCTACCTTTCCACTCATCCTAAATTATACAATATTATCTCGTTACACAATCCCCTTGTTCTATTATCTTAAACGGACGCGGGCAACGGATTTAACACCGACGTATTGGACACCGTGAAATCGTTTGATTTATTTCGGTTATTTCGGTCGTTTTAATGTATTTTACCGTTCTAAAAAATGTATTAGGTTATAATGAAAATTATTAGTGCTCATCCGCGATGATTTTCCCGACTACTGTATTGGCAAATGAAAATACCACGGCCGGTAAAAACGCGACTCGAAACTGACCCCCGCCGTTAAAACCGCAGTCGGTTTGCACTTTTTCCGTGTTTCGATAGCAGAGAAAACGTTTTCGGACCGTCCCGCTGCAGCACTCGCACATACACGGCCTCTCGCCATACCGATCCCCGGTCCATTGTATCTCGGCCCGGATCCCTCAGTCAATTGCATACACAATTGACTAAGATATCTCGGCCCGTGTGTATTGAACCGTGGCGGCCATCGCCGTCTGCAGAGGTCTGCTACCTTTTCGGGAGGAGACGACGCACGCGGCTGTCAACGCGCGCCTCGGGTGGTGCCAACGTGCGGACTCGACCGAACCCAGAACCGCCTGTAACAACAATACGGCGAAACACGCCAAAAACACGCCGCCATAATAACATAATAATAATAAAATCTGACGAGAACGTTCGTCTCGGCTATACAGAGTGACCCATTTACCACGAACCGTAGGGTTTCTCGGATGATTTTAAGCGAATTCCGATTGTTGTATGGTTTTCCATTTTTCAATCGTTATGACGGCGTCGTTTGAGCTTTGTGTTTCGTTATTCGATGCGTATACACCAGCGGTTCTTCGCGGTCGGCGATGGGGGGGGGGAGAGGGGATGTTGAGCGATACTTGTTTCGAGAGGTGAGGGAGCGGTAACGAGTATATTTTGGACGGCGGGTGGGCGATGTGTGATTTGTCGCACAAGATGCGCATAAGTGGAACGCGGAACGGAGTTCTTTTTCTGGTTATTCGTTCGATTCTTAATGTTCTGCAATAAAGACGACTTTTTAAATGCACTTACCGCATTATTTTAGATTCGAAGCGTCGCGAAGAATGTATTTGTATTTCAACAAGGTTTTTTTTTTTCATCATCTATGAAGAACTTTTCTACCGGAAATCTTGCTCCCGTTTTCGAGTGTGGTACCTTTTTCGAAAGGAAATTTCGTCTGGGTGATTCGATTTTTCAAGCGGTTTTCATAATAGTCGGGAAAACTTACATAAGTGTACAAACGAAACTCCGGTCCAAATCGTTTTTCGTCAGCGTATAAACATAAATTACAATCCCCTCTATACCCTATCTTCCTAACTTCGCACCTACAACAGTGGCCCAACCGTCGTGCGAATTGCGTCCGCTTTGTTGTTCGTTCGCTGGCCATTTCCGTTTTTGGTTTTCGTCTAACAACTACACATTTACTCGATAAACGGTACGCACTTTTTATTTTAAATCCAGAAGCGCCATCTCACGTTCGCTTTTTTAAACACGACTCCGAACAGCGAACATTAGGGCAATGAGGGTGCGATACAACGCGCAATAGTTACGGCCGCCGTATACTTTTACTCGGATTAAACGAGATTCGTGTTTTTTTTTTTTAACCGCATCGTATACGCACGGCAGTCTATCTATACGCGCAATAATATTTATAGCGTTCGAAAACACGATTTTCCCGACAAATACCTATAATAATAATACAATACCTATATACATACTCGTAATAACGCGTAATTCGAATAAATTTATCAAATCTTGAAGGTCGCGACAAACGATACCTGTAGAGTAACACTTTCTCGTAAATATTATTATAATATCATACTCGTATACCGGCACACGTATACTAACGTTACTTTATGGTTTTTTTTTTCTACGGTCAATATATAACAATGTCGTTAACCGTACTGCGACGTGAATAGGCGCGCGTTTATTATCGTGTGTTCCGGTTAACAAACACAAAAAAAAAAAAACCCTGTAGGAGGTATAGGTGTAGTAAAAAGCTTTGTAAAAAATAGCGTTTGAATGTTGTAACAAAACGTCGGGCATGTTACTTTGGACCGCGGATAGGTAATAACGGCCATGGAAAAAATGACCGAAATGGCCGGGGGAAAATATACCAGGGAGAAAATACTATTGCAACCGGAAACACGGTCGTGGAAAAAAATGTAGATAAAATCAAATGTTTTCGTCCGTCCGTTTTTGCATTTAGGCGTATTTTCTGGGGATGGACCGACAGCGGTTTTTACCAATATAAAACTGATACCCGTGATTTAATATTGAAATTAACCGACAAATCAATTTGAAAACCCGATTTTTTTTTTTTAAAAAGACTTTTTCATATTCCAAAGAAATTTGTTTTTTTTTTTTTTAAAAAAAAAAACCAGTAACACCGATTTCGGATTATATTTCGGCACACCCCTAAATCATTTTCCTCTGGCCATTTAGTGGTATAAGAGAATTTTCGATTTCACCGTTATTATCGGATACCGTGTGTTGTTTAGACAAGAATTACCGAAGGTATAGGAGAATTTAGCTTCTACACACTTAACGCGCCGACGACAAATCATCACAATCAAAGAAACGATCCCGAACGGAGCTCGCTAAACGGATAAGGTTCATCGAAATAATCGGTTTATTCAGTGTTGTAAAACTTTAGACGTTTTTATTATTTTCGAATAGAGTAAGAACCGCAGGCGAAAAAAACCGCGACGAGGTACACTGCGTGGCAAACATTGCGCTTACCGAAAAAATACTATCAAACAATCACAGAAAACTAGGGGTTATTTTTTCCGAAAAAACTATTGGAAATTTCGAAAAACCGTTTAAATAGACTGTGCCCTAAGACGGTGTAACCCTAACCTAACCCGCAACTTCATAAATCCTCGACCGTTAAATAATGTTTTCGCCGCATTCGGGATCGAATAAATACGCAGTAAATCGTTTGGTACTGCGGCGCGGCCGTCGCGCGTCGTCGTCGTTCCCGGTATACGGTATTTATGGTACGCCGGAAATTATCGTGCACGATCGTGTCCCGACGCCGCCGACGGAGCGCGCGTCGGTCGACCGTTTCAAAATATTATCCACCCGGTCCGCGCACAGTGTACACCGGCACGGCGTTCCCGTTCTTCTCGGCGCTCGGCAGTCTTCGACCGACGTTCACGCCGTTCGTTGTCCGACCGCTCGCGCGAATTTTACGCGCACGTCCCGCGAATTACAGTGATTTTTTTTCATTCGATTTGTCCAGGATTCCGCGTTCATCCGAACCAAATATCATCTGACCGTTCTCTGTACACGAGCATACGTACCGCGCGGATTGTGTTCACCGATTGGCGTTTTCCCGTCCGTCCGTTTTTTCACGAAAAAATATGGCAATCATGGACACGAACCCGGAGAGTAATAACCAGTACCAGTACATCCAGGATACGTCTTTGGCTTCGGTAAGTCGAATCAGTGTTCATTACCCGTCCCTACTGTTGCCCCTCGAGAAGAGAAATAAACCGTAATTTTTTTTTTTTTTGTTGTCGTTTTTCCGAGGCGAGCTATTCGAAAATAAACCCGGAGAAATCATATACGCGTCGACTTTAAATAAATATTATTTTTCAATATTTAAACGGCCGACCGTTTTTGGAAGGCCGTACGGTTTTAGGCTGGAAAAAATGCCGTGGCTCGTACGCGTATTTTTTCGAGCATATTATTTATTTATTTTTTTTTTTCTATAAATCCCGGCCCCAATAATATTGACGGCCTCGACTATAATACTCGAAAGAACAAAAAAAAAAAAAAATACTCAAAATCCTCGTAACGGACGTGTGTACCGAAAAAATCGACGTCCGTGACGTTTTTTTTACGACTGCGAAAACCGTAGTCGTAATTTTTTTTACGCGATTTTTTTTTCTTTTCGTTTTTGTTGTTTTTTTTTTTTCATCGGCTGACTCGAAAAACACAGATCAAACGATATTATTATATTGTTTATTACGTATTCGTTTGAATCGCATCTGCACACAGTGCAGGTGTTCCCACGGGGTACACTGGGTGTAACTAACTGCGCCGTAAACTCTCGACGTTTTCGAACTGTCGAATAGTTTTCTCGAAAAGCAAAAACTTCGACGTTACGCGTTATTATATTATCGCCGTTGACAGTTCGTTACGCGCTCTACACGTCCGTGGTGATAAATGACGGAATCTGCGGACCATATAGGAGTGTGATTTTTTTTTTTTTTTGGAAATTTACGTTATATCGTCGATGTCTGGACGGATTACAGCGGACGCATGCGAGTACGCGAATGTTTACGCGGATACGATCGATAAAGGCGTTGCAGTATTCGATAATTTCTTAATTGAAAAATCGTAAAAATATCGGTCAACACCTTTGATCCGACGATCCCGTCAATATTGTCGTTTGTTTCGGTCAACTGAACAACCCCCCCGCGATTACCGTTTACAATGCTTTTCGATTTGCGAGCGCTCCGTTTCGGTAATGATTTTAATTCGATTTTCGAAACAATATTTACGGGAGCACCGTAAATAAACTCACGGGCGGCTTTCGCAATGTTTCGATTTATTTGTTCGGAGTTTTTTTTTTTTTTTTTTTCTGTTCGCGACGTCGGCCTTGTCAATCAACATCAAAAAAAAATAAAAAAAAAAAAAGCCGCCGATCCCGTCACAGGAGGGCAATCTGCCGACGGCGACGTCGCGCTGTTTGCTATCCAAATTTTTTTTTTTTATTCCCCGATTATCGTCGACGACAAATTCTCTCCTAATCGCGATAAACGCGCACGTCGCACGTCACATCGAACAAACAAACATCACTAATAAACTATTATTAGAAGGAAAAAAATACGCTGTTCGCTCCGTCCGCTCTCGTCAACACATCGTTTGCCCCAGAGTTCGCCGATAATTGATTTCGTCGGCACGGATGACGTATTATCTAAAAAAAAAAAAAAAACGATCGGCGAAAACGTCAGCGTCGTGTATTATATTATGCGTAACCGCCGTAATTGAATATTTTATTTGCCTAAATGTTTCCGCGATCGGGGATTTTAACGTTGAAATAAAAAAAAATAAACGCTCGGAAAGTATATTTAAAAATCGGCGTGCAAAACGGTAGAGGTGTTTAAAAGTCCGCCGACGCCCGTCCAAGGGGTCTGACTTATTGAATACGATTGCCCGACACCACAGAAACGTTGCCGTCGTATAAGCCAGAGCCGTTGGGAACGACGGGGATCTTTTGAACGCCACTACCGGTTTCGCCGTTTTCAAATAATTGCCCGGGGCTTGTTGATGAAGTACCCGACTATTCGTTTTTCGTGGATTTTGAGTCGTAAGAGGCCGCGAGCCCCGTACGTCGCTACACCGCCGCGATGTGTCGCCGTGACGCGCAGTCGCTCGGAACAGCGACGCGAAAGAAAAAACAACTGAAAATAACTTCTTGAAACGTCAATATTTATTCGGAAAACAATAGACGAGACGAGATACGCGAGAATATTGAAATTGACGTGCGCGATAAAATCGTCGGGAACGAAAACGTCTGGAATATTATGTATAATTTGATTGAACCCGGGAATCTATACACCGTGCGTTTATCACAGAAAGCGGACGCGGGGTGGTTTCTTTTTTTCCGTTGCCGGGGGAATATTTTAAAGGTGCCGTCCCAATCGAAGGAATAAAAAAAAATTAATAACAACACGCATTTGTTGAACGGTTTACTTTTTGTCCCGATCGATATTATTGTTTCGCCGGCGTCCGTACCGCAAAACTGTTCTCGCGCCGATACTCGCGGGCGTGCGAAAACCGTCTTAAACGGTCTCGAGACGGCGAAAATGACTGCAGAATATTTAAAAAAAAAAAATTAAAAATTACGGTGTATGAATTTCGACAGACCGTGTCCGTGACTTTAATCGAGACGCGGTACAGCGAACCCGTCCCTGCGCAGGACCCGGATAGGGAATGGGACGTTGGTGTATACCGAGGGTCGGTTTTCGCGGAGAAATCGAAAAAACGCGAACCGCGGTGAAAACGGTGAAAAGGGGATTTTCGGAATCCGTTCGGTTTACAGACGAAGTCTGCGAGTCCAGCGCGAGTAACGAGTTTCCGAAACGAGCGTCGTTTTTCGTCATCGCGCGCGCTGTCCAGGGCCAACGGCGTTGCCGGGTAAAAAATTATAATCTCCGCGACGATTACGAGCTCTCGGAGTCGGCATTCCGATGCGTTTACCGCCATTTTTATTTTCCGCCGTTCGTACGTTCGCCGTGTACACGAACATTGATTTTAGATACAGTTTTTTTTACACCGAACTCGTTTGGTTTTTTTTTTCCCCCAAACGCGCCCCCCCGTAAACCCGTTGACCCCTCGACCCGAGATTTATTGCGACGCGTCGACCGTATACTGATAGAATTATTTTCTGTGTGTTACAGTTGGATTCCAAAACGAGCCCGCTGGCCATGTTGGTGCGCACTTGCAGTCAGATCGGAGCCGACCCGCCGATGGCCACCGCGGCCAAGTCGAAAAAACCGGTCGCTGCGGCGCCGGTGTCCGCGCCCGCCGCCGCGGCGGACAGGCCGCACAGCGCGTCCCCGGCCTCGGCCGCTTACTTGGGCCACGCGGCCGCCAAGCACCCGTTGAACCACCACCACCACAACAACAACAACAACACCATCAACAACAACAACAACAACAACAACAACAACAACAACAGTAACAGCCACAACAACAACTACTTGCCGGAAAAACCGGCCAAGTTGAATTTCAAACCGTACGAGAACACTGTTTTGACGCCGTCGCCGCACCACCAGCTGCACCACGTGCAGCATCACTCGACCCAACACTATCAATCGCCGAACGACGACGAAAGCCGCCCGAAAAGCAGTAGCTCGGAAGACAACGGCGGCGGCGGCGGCCACGGTCACGGGCACGGGAAGAAACGCAAATCGGCTTCGCCGCGCGACGAGCCGTACCACCACAACCACAGCACCGCCAAGAGCAGCCGCCGGTCGTCGTCGTCGGCCTCGTCGTCCGAAACGGTGTCGACCGCCGTCGACCCGTCCACCAACCCGATAATCCGGTCCGGCCTGGAGGTGATGCACGGCGCCGCCGCGGCCAAAGCGGCGTTCTGCCCGCCGCCGCCGATGCCCGCTCACTCGCCGTACAAGCCGTGCGACCCGCTGGCCGCTTTCCGGCACACGTATCTGCCCGGCGCCCCCTGGATGCCGGCGGCCGTTTCGCTGGCCGCGGCCGCGGCGGCCAAGCCGTCGTCGTCCGACTGCAAGGACCCGATGTGCGGCGGACCGGCGTCCGGATGTGGCGGCCAACAGCAGCAGCAGCAGCAGCACCACCACCATCAGATGACCGCGGCCGCGTTGGCGTTCGCCAGCCAGTACCACCCGATGATGGCCGCGGCGGGCGGCTGTCCCGCGGGCTGCGCGCAGTGCGACCACCAGCGGTACTTGTCGTCGCTGATGGCCGCCGCGGCCGCCGTGCCCGCTTTTTACGCGCCCGTCGCCCGCCCTTACACGTGCAGCTGGGTGATACCCGGCGGTAGCGGCGGCAACGGCCCCGGCGGACACCAGCCGTCGTCCGAAGCGGCCGCCGTCCCGTCACTGTGCGGCAAGAGTTTCGGCACGTCCGACGAACTGCTGCAACACATCCGCACGCACACTTCGGGCAGCGGCGCCGGCGTCTCCGCGGCCGCGTCCGCCATGGCCGCCGGCCCCATGTCGCCGACCACGGCCGCGGCGTTTTCCGCCTACAACAGCCATCTGTCCCGGCACCTGTTCCACCATCCGTCGGCGGCCGCCGCGTACGGAAAACCGCCGACGCCGTCCATGATGCCGCCGTCGCCGTACAGCGCGTTCAACCCGACGGCCGCGTACTGTTACCCGCCGCCCGGCGGTTACCATCACCCGCACCCGTTGTACTCGCCGCGCGGCGACACGTCCGCCGCCACCGTCAGCCGTTAACGCGATTCTTCCGATAACGGCTGTCGTCGATACCGCCGTAAATAATAGTGACACTGTGATAGCGCTTTAATCGAAATATCGTAATCGCACGTTACGATCTTTATCGTCAAATATTAAATTATTCGCGGACATCACGATGACCTCACAAGAATCACTCTCTCTCTCTATCTCTCTCTCGCACACACTCTCTCTAGAAGAAAACCAACACTCTCGTTGTCAGCAACGCATCGTCGCCCGCTCGCCCCGATATTACACTACCCCCTCCCCCCCCTCCCGCCCCTTGTAATTATCATTGTTATTGTCATCTACTCGGCCGTCGATATTTTTATTGTAATTACAATTGCGTGTGTATTTATTTTTTCATTATTTGTCATTAATCGCCGTCCGCGTAGACGTCGCGTATCGCGCAATAATATTCGTCACCGACACCGCCCGGGATAGAATTACGTGTTATTTGTATTAGTATATTTATATGTTTAAGCATTCTTTATCTTTATGTTTTTTTTTTTTTTTTTGCTTTTTTTACGACCTCGTTGATATTTTCAAATACTGAATTGGTGTGATTTTTTTGTCGTCGACGTTTCGTGTTGTTTCACACAAACGCGTATTATATTAAACGTATATATATATTATATTAGATTATTAAAAAAAAATAAAATTTCATTTGATAATATAATTATAAAAAAAAAAAAAATAAATATTATTTATACTTAACTATATATTCGTGTACAAAAATAAATGAAATACGTGTCAAAAACAAACGATAAACTGCGTTATTATTATTTAGTGTATTTAAAGAGTTGATCCTTGCATCCGGCGTTGATTATTCCGCGCGTTTTACATATTTCGCCGTGGGCACGACGACGTTGCCGACGGTGAATAAAACGCGAACGTTTTCGAACGCTTTTGCTGTACGCACGACGTAAAAACCGGCACGGCGGAGTGAAACGATTTGTCGGTAAACGATAAATCTCGATTGCTCTGCCGGCCATATTTTATACAAATCCAATAACGACGACGACGCTTATCGTCATTCGACACGGTACGGATAGATTAATCAAAAAACGGGCAAAGTCGTTCGCCGGTAATTTACTCGGGTAATTAATTTCGAATTAAATTGCCGGTGACTTCGCGTCGACGGTCGCGTACGTCCGTTTGGACGGCACCGACAAAAGCGCAATAACGCAATGCCGAAAAACGCAATAAAAACGGTCGTCGCCGGTATTCCGGCGACGGCGATCGTTTCTCCGCAAAGGCGAGGGGTCACTTCCACCCCCCCCCCCCCCCCGCCCACGGTTTTTCGGTGTACTTCCCGGTACGTTGGCGAAATGCGTATTATGTATTTCGAAATTCGAAATCGGAACGCAACGCCAATACGGTAAAAGCATTACGACGATATTAAGGTTTGCTGTTTATTTTCGTCGCGATAGACTTTAACAGCGGGTGAGTTTCCCGGCAAACGTTCGCCGGATTAACCGGCTGCAATTTTGTGTTTGTTCGGGTTTCCTACGCGGCGCGGTGTTGGAGACCGTCCGACGCCGCGGTAGGTGGCTCGACATTGACGCGGGGCCTATGAATACTCGACGACAATCGGGCAATCTGCGACAACTCGATAAATACAATATCACATAGCGGTAAAACAAGTACCCGATTTTTTTGAAGATTGAAGATGTTTATGCGTGTCGTAGCTGTTTGTCTATTCGAAATGAAAACAAATAGTTCCAATTACTCTTTTGGATGGATAAAGAAGTAACGTTTTTTTCAACCGCTGTTTTGTTTTTAATTTTTTATGACGAAATTACGCTTATAATCAATTATCAATATAATACCTTACAAAATAATGTTTAAAACACATACATTGTTTTACAATCAAATTTTAAACAAAAAATCGCGATTTTTTTTTTTTTTTGAAAAACTATTTTTTCGTCCTCCCCGATAGTAGCTACATAAAGTTGTGTATTTTAGGCGTATGAAAGAGAACAACAGATTTTGTGCGAAGAAAATTAATGACGAACACCAACGTGGACCATCGTTTTTTTAATAGTTTTTCGCCTTTAATATAGTTGTAGTATATTAATAAATTCTAAGTGAAGCCGGGGATCTATAGGTTTTACTATGATGTGCATTTTTATTTTTTGTTTTCTGTCTATAAACAACTTATCTCCTCCTGAAAATCTAGCTCCAATCAAGACATGACAAAATACCTTTTTTGTTGCACTTTTGTTCTAATTGTAAAAGGTAATTTTTTGAAATAATCATTAATATTCGAGATAATGAGGAAAAAGTGGTTCTGTGTATTGAAAAATATTAAAAATAATAGGATTGCCATTGGCAACCGTTTTTATTTATTTTTTGTTATTACTAAGTTTTCACTATTTTAATGGTCTAATATTTTTTAAACAATCGTTGTTGTTGTGAAAACGTGCGTTGTTAAACAAGCAATAAAATTGAATGTGCTTCGCTCAGAATCGTTTTTCGTCAACAATGGTTAATCGTTGCGTACAGATATACATTGCATACATTCAATTCCCTTTCATATCCTACTTTCCCAACTTTTCACCTACAACTACAGAAGCCGCACGCGTCCCCAGTATCAGTTCTTTTAGATTCTGATATTGGAGCGAGAAAAATATTGGTTTTACAATGATGTTTATTTTTTTTCATATGTGAACAACTTTTCTACCAGAAACATTGCTCCGATTTACAATTGTAACACTTTTTCTGAAAGGAAATCTGACTGGTACTTTATCAAGGAGGTAATTTTTTTGATATCCCTAGGTGTTTTGTAATAAATGGGAAAAACCGGGAAAATTGGTCCGACATTAAACGAATATTATTAAATAAAAGATATAAGGCCTGTTTAATTATTTTATTACAAAACAACATATATATATATATATTGTTGACAAAGCCACACTATCGACCGAACTTCGCTCAGAATCGTTTTTCCGTTAGCAACGATTAATCGTTGCGTACAGAGATACATTGAATTCCCGTCTATATCCTACCTACCCGACTTTCCGCCTTCAACGGCGGCCGGACCCATCCCCATTATCCTAGCCTTTTTTTTTTTTATTTTAACCTCTCTGGTATATTACCACCGTTGTTATTTAATGTTATTAAAAGATCCCGGTTAAATTAATACGTAAATCTAACGTTCGCCGCGATTATAATATACAGGTAAATCTGACGGTAATTTTCGATAAACATTAAATTCTGCGTTCGATAGGGTTTCGGCCGTCGTTTCCAGTCGCGTTTCCAATACAACGCACGCGATTGTGTTATCATAATATTATACGTGCATAACCGAGATAATTAATATTTGCGGAAACGGAACTTTTAAAAATCGCGAACCACGCCGCGAGAGTTTCGACAGCTTCGGCTTTTACGGCGTTATACGTGCGTACACCGTAACCGTGTATCCGATATCGAAGTCGGGAAAACGCACGTTTCACGTACCGGGGGAGGGGAGGGGGGGGGGGCGACGAACGTAATAATAATAATAATATTGTTATAACGTTGTACGCGGAAAATTCAAAAGGCGAAGGGAAACGCCGCGAAAGGCCCGGGGCGTGTCGAGGTTTACGTTCTACGCGTTGAAATATTATATCTTCGAATTCCCTTAATATCTCGATAACGGCGTGTAGTAGGCAACTGCCGCTACCTACTCATACCCGAACGTCAACGACATTATCCATAAATCGTTGAATATTATTTTGCTAACGGTGCCGCGGTTGCGCGTGCTCCGCCGACGCGTTTACCGAAAATCGTTTTCCGAGAAAACAAACAAAGCTGCGCGGAAAACAAAAAGGGTTCTACGCTGGTTAGAAAAACAAAACACTAGGTACTGTGAGACTTAAACGAAATTAACGTCCCTTGCCACTGTCGAACCAGAACGGTAACCCCCCCGCGGGTTAACGCTCGTAACCGCCACCGCGTTCTACGCGTTCCACTTCGTACAGCAAAAGCACGCGGACTTTTCTGAAGAATCAATTAAGGTACAACGCCTTCTTACACCCACCCAACCCCCCCTCCCACCTCCGCTCCCGAGCACTAGCGCCTCCGTTTCGAAAGGAGAGTTTAAATGGGGGACGTAGTGTATCGTGTATTGCATTATGATACAGAACGATGCAATTTACATATTTTTACGCCGCGATTAACCACCGTGAACGAAAAACGATTTTGAGCCGAGTATTTGATTGGTTAGGTTTTTTCCACGTGGCCAACGTAACCGAGAAATCAACAGAAATCATACCGGGAAATAGCGCTGTTTCCCATTCGTTACGAGAAAACTCGCAGAAATAAATTACCTCCTCAATGTAACGACTAGATCAAAAATCAACTAGATGGTGGGGAAAAATGCTGGGAACTTTGCGAAACGTTTTAAAAATATTATCAAAAAACTACCGGGTGAGAATTCCGCGTCTGGTAAGGTGGTGCTGCGTGGAAAAAATCGGAATGTTAACCGAAATGGGTGTTTTCCGAGGGAGAAATTAATTCATATTAAGTTATTATAATACTTTAATATTTGATACGGATCTTCGTCCGTCTTAACTGTGGTCTTCCTCAATCACCAAATATTTATTTTTTTTTATCATCGAACCGTGTTACGGCCAGACGTGTACGGTCCACGGCAGAAGTTCATCGTTAACGATGAAAAATACCTAGTTAAAAAGAAATACAGTAAACCGGAGAGTTAAGGGGAACCGGACGCAGAGGATTTGACGTATACGAATATTATAAAAAATTCCTATTCAAATAACGAAATACGCGTTCGCAAAACGCAGTCTGTTCGTTAACCGTGATTGTACAGGATCCGCGTTATCGAACTGACAGTTCACTTTTCAAACACTTCGAGACCGAGTGAGCGATGATGAAAAATCGCATACCTAATATATACATCCGTACGACGCGGTCGGGCGACGAAGTCCGTTTTCCCGGGAAGGTGCGGCCAGCGTCGCGTATTTACGTACGCTATTCGAGTTCAGCCCGAACCGAATCGTCGCCTAATCGGTTTCGGGTCTTTTTACGATGGTTAAAAACCTAACCCAGCGCGGTCATTAAACGCGCGACCGGGGGGAGGGGGGGGAGCCGGCGGCAAACTGCATCGCGGGTGCGTGGGGACGATGGCGAAAACGGTGGCGGAGGAAACGTCACGCGATAATAATAATATAAATAATCGATTGTCGGCATTACGTTCGACAAGACGGATTGCGCGCGCGATTCGTTTGTCTCGGCACCGGGGAGAAAAATATTAATCATCGCGGTCCGATATGCGGTGGCGGCGGCGTCGTCGTCGTTTATAATACGAACGTATACTGTTGTGCGGTTTGCGAGAGGGACGTTTTTCTTCTTGCTGTGCGCAGTCGTACGAAAAATGAGCCGATGTGCCGCAGCTGACGACGGGTGTGCCACTGTTTTAGGGTGGCGAGTCGGAAGGGAGGACGTGTAAAGTAATTTAATTTATACCTGCACGCGACGATAAGCCATTGTTGACCGGAAACGATTCCGCGCCGAGTATTGCGAGACGTATTCGTTGTCTCGCTGCCGAAATAGCCCGGCAATCAACGGAAATTATGAAAAAAAAGAAAGAAAAGAAAAGAGACCAATCGAAAAAACGTCTTTGTCCAAACGCACGGACAATACCGAAACCGCTACGCTACAAGAAAGTCCCCACGAAGTCCTGCGACGCGTTGAAAGCAGATTTCTGACAGAATGATATGTTTAAACGCGGGGGAAAAAAAAAAAAAGGACAAAAAACGCCGCGCGTCACAGTAAAACCGATACATCGCTCAGAGCTTCGCCACTCGGAAGATAGAAAAAAAAAAAAAAATAATAAAAATGCCCGTCAGCCGACCGGAACTACAAAGCGGCGTGTGACGGACGGAAGGAGGCGGGAAAAAAACCCCGCGGTCCGTGCGCGGCGTGAGGGGGGGGGGGAGCGAAGAGGCGGGCGCGGCACGGTCTCGTCTGTTGACGCGACGACGGCGAAGTCCGCTGCAGCTCGTCGCGTAATTAGGACACACTCTCAACAGAGTCGTTTAATTACGCCGTCAGGGCGACAGAACGAGCCGGTGAGAGATGCGCCGCGCGGAGACAGAGACGGATAGAGACGGCGGAGAGAAAAAAAAGAACGAACAACAACGGGGGGAAAAAAAAAAACCCCCCGAGTAGAAAATGATAGCTAATTTGTACACGTCGCGGGCAGACATTTATCATAAAAATACGCGCGCGCGCCCGCGCTCGTGTGAATGGTATACGCGTATATTTATACACGTACACACGAAAACGACGTGACGGCGGCGGCGGCGGCGGCGGGGCAGCGAAATCAAATGACAGAGAATAACGAGCAGGTTTTTATATTATATTATATTATACATGTTGTCTGTGCGGTGTTTATATATTATGTTCTTTACCACCCACACCCCGCCCCCCGCCCCCCCCGCTGTCGTCCGGCCGTCGCCGCGTTATGCGAGTGTGTTTTCGCCCCTCCCCTCCGCCGCTCATACCCCCCCCCCTTCCGTCCTGCCGGGGGTGTGCGCGCCGCGAGAGAAGACGTCAAGAGTTAAGTTATTGTCCGACGGCGGCGGCGGCGGCGGCGGTGGCGGCTCGATCGATTCTTCCCGCGTAATATTTAAACGCCCCGAGAATACTGCGGCACGCGTAAACGAAATCGCGGTGTTATTGTCCCCGTACACATGTGTAATATAAATGCGGGGGGATTGGCGAAAAACTAAAGGTTTGCGAAACAATCGAGACGTTCCGGCGAGAGTGACGGTTGACGATTTTTTAGAGAAAAACCGAGGGAAACACGCGCACGTCGGGTAACGTCGGACGATAATTCGGAAACGCCGTACTCGGACGGCGTGGTTTTTCGTAAACTTACGTCTCGCACAATAAAGTCGGATCCGTCTATCGCGTTCTTATTGTTCTAACGGCGTAATCGTTTTTTGAAGTGCGTCGCGAATCACATTTTCATTTCCGTACCGAACGTGTGTCGAAACGATTCGATGAATACGTTATAATCTTCCGGAGGAGCGCAGACGGTGTCTCACGACCGAGGCCTGACCCACGCGGCGTTTGTTGCGATGGTCGCGGTGTTCACCATACCGTGATGGTTAATTATCAGTGGCTGTAATCAGTGACGAGATCGGAGAGATATGTCTTCCACTTGACTCTTTTTCTAGTATACATCATTTATATGACTATTTTTTTTTTGTATACGCTGTGTATTTTGTCAGTTCACTATCGTGACAGTAGTAACAAATCGTGGTAGTGACTATTATCGCGTGGATCGGACTGTGATTGCGGCAGTCAAAACAGAGAATCATATAATTTATGAAGGGGGAAAACTCGGTGTAACCGACCGCGTCGCTTCGAATATATTATTACTAGAAGGGCCTGGTTTTAAATGTTCTGAAAACTATCGAAAAATAGTCAAAAATGATTTTTACCGAAATGATACGCGGCAAAATGACCCGAAAACATTAAAATGGCGCTGAAAATAATAATAAAAAAAAAACGGCGAAAAATGCAAATTACAAATTCCACTTTTCCCGTTATTTGTGTGAACCGAATGACGCATTATATCCGTAACAATAAACATAACGATTGTAAATTTGTATTGATTAAAAAATACCTAAAATATCATAATAGCAAATTTCGCGAAAACAAAATTTCTTAAGATAACAATTGTAAGTTTCTTAATTTAAACGATTAATATTCATACAATGTGAAAAATACCTATGCGATTAAAACTACTAAAACGGTGACCGACAAACGTTGCGAAAAATGCATTTATCTGTTACGCGGAACAAATTGTGCACTTGGAAAGCGTCGTCTTGGATCAAACACACACAAAAAAAAAAAAAACCCATAAATTTAACATTTGAATCCGGGCCGCCCTAATTGTAACATCGCAGTATTGCCCTGGTTGGGGAACGAAGCGAATTATCTCGTCGATATTTGTATACTCACACAATACGCGCCCGTTTCCGAGACGTTTCTACGTCTAATAATATGTATGAACGAGTTACAAGACGTTTAAATCGAGGTAAACAACGATAAAAAAAAAAAAAAACTAGTAATACCGCGAAAGTCTCGACGGCGCGGCGGTGTTAATAACATAACGTCTTTTAACGTTTTTTATGGCTGTAAAGAGAAACGATATTACGGCGAGCTTTCGTCCGAAACGTCCGATTTAACGCGTTTAAACCTAAAAACGGTTTAATATTTGCCGTAAAATTTATCACGGCCTTCCGGGAAACTCGAATATTAATATGTACGCACGCTGCGCACAACGGGTTAATTTTTTTTACGAATGTTTTGGACGGTGTAATAAGTACGTTACACCATTGCCCCTTTAGATTTCGGGTTTTATAATACCCCCGTAATTTCAGTGCCTACGGAATGTATTGACATTTGTTCGATATATTCCAGAATTTGTTTCGATTCCCCACGTTCGTTACAGCCGAAATACCGACTGCGGATTTTAAAAATATACAAAATGTATTTCTTTTTTTGTTTTGTTTTTTTTTTTTTTTTCGTGCCATCGTGTATAGGCAGTACGTCATTTGTTTAGACTATCTAGAACTAGAACCGTTATAACCGGAGTAATGAGTGGGTGTTCAGTGTGTCGGTTCAAATCCAATAAAGCGACAGGTATTCGTTATTTCGTATCAAACGGTACCGAGTTATGAATTTCATGGTGTTATTAGTCTAAAAAGTAAACGTGGGTAACATTCCTTTAAGTAAATAGGTGGGATATTGTTCGAAATAGGTAAAACGAAGCGACCAGAAACTGGGAAATGTTTTACGAATTAAAGAAAAAGGCAATTCAAGTAAAATATTCAACTAATATTGAATGGGAGTTTGTGTTGTATAATTGTGCGTAATAATTACTAATATTAATAATTATCTTGTAACGTCATAAAATTGTAACATCAAAATATAATTTAACTATGATATTATATTCAAGTTCTTTGTACTGGTTGTATATTATTTAAATTTAATCTAATGCTCGAATTTAACGTTGTTTAGAATGCAAGTAAATATTGTATTATTATTATTATTATTAAACAAACGTATACAAATATATTTACAATTAGTAATTAGATAGTACATGCCGAAGTTTTGAAAATTGTACACGATTAATAAAAGCTAAAATAAATATCGTGTGAAAATGTCGGGTCTCTACGATCATTTTCAACCGGATCGTACAACTATACACACAAAAAAAAAAAAAAAAAAAAAAAAAACAAAATCGAAAATAATGGCACCGTTATGTCTATAAACTTTCTCGTTTTTCCTACGTGTTTTCTCTTTTAAGTGAAAAATCAACAAAACCGACCTCTTTCACCACTTTCATGCACCGACAATAATGAAAACGCTACACAAAAAAGCTCTTCTGTAGTCCTGTCATTTTTTGACTGGAGCAAGATTTCCGGTAGAAAAGTTGTTAACAGACACGAAAAAAAGCTCACACAACACAGTGAAACCATAAAACGCAACGTTCGCAATGTCTGTAACGCATTTAATGTTCGCTCCGCGGTTGCGCCGTAAACCTATTTGCACATTCGCGATTCGCGAGTCCGTGATTCCGTACCGAAATAGCCACTGCGGCACATTGACCATAATATTTTTTTTTTTTTTATAATTTGGCGGTAAATTTTTCTGATTTATACCGGCGGAATTCAAACCTACAACGACGACGGCGTTTCGGTTCTAATATTATCACCGTCCGTTTCAGATCGTTTAGCGTATTGCCCACACAATTTCTTAGCGCCAAATCTGCTGGTCTCGGATCCTTTTCTCGCCGTCCGGATATCAATATTTTCTCGGCGTTCCAGAGCCATGCAAATCCGGTAGACATGATCTGAGATACTTACCTGGGCGCGTAGGATTATTGTTACGGTAGATTTTGTATTTTTAATTTATAGTACGGACATCTATACGGTATTGGTGTCGGCTAAATAATTATGACTGCGCGTCGTGAGCGTGACGAGCACAGTCGGTTTAAAATTGGAAATATGTCCGTGGTCAATTATGGTCAATAATAATAGAATATCATTTACGGAACCAATTACGTACGTACTGAACAGTTCAGCGAACGTTTTTATTGTATTTTTTATTATTACGATCGACGGCTACCCCCCGGATTTCAAACTACATAATAATGCGCAGTTCAATTGTCCGTGTGTAGTTGAATAAGCAGTGCAAATGTTTAACAATTATTGTTTCATTAGTGATAACTTGTTAATTTATTCTGTATAATTTATATTATAATTTTTTTTCGTATTTGACATGATCAATGTGGAAGACTGGAGTCACCTTAGCCTCCCCCCTTAGTACACCACGGAGTATGATAACTTTATAGTTTAAATATTTATTCAATACTTTGTAGAATATGTCGAATTAGACCCCCGTGGATTAGTTGAACTCGTTTTTTATTTCGAAGAGGAATGGTCGGGTACTAGATAATTTGATTTACTCGTAAATCAAATACATCACTGCGTGCGAAAATATCATTTCAATGTGTACCCATATGTTACATCTTACACTACCTCCCCGTTTTTTTTTTTTTTTAAATTTTAGAATTTCAAGAAATTACCTAACCTGCCGGTATAACCAAGCGAATTTGTCGAGACGGGTCATTAAAACTTTTAAATTCACGCACGCTTCAATCGAACCCTCGAAATCTACTCCGCAACGCATTGCATTTTTCATTTCCGCCGAATCGTCGAATCCGTTGAACATCTTTTCTTGCCCCGTGAAAACACTGCCGGCGGGATGCTCGATTTGGTCGAGTTTTTTTTTTGTCAGGTTCCCAAGTAGTAATATCGTGTAAGGCTTCCGTCGGCCCGATAAACATGCGGCCAGTCTAATAACTCCAACGGGTCCAACGGTTTTGTTGAACTATTTATTTTTCAGTCCATCGGTTTCACGTCTCTGATGTTTCTCATTTCGGTTTGCCACGGCGCGGTCTCGTGTATTTTTCGAAGGTAATGTAAAAAACAATATCGAACGCGCACCGGGTACTGAGTTTGGATTTTCAGACCGTGTATATTTTACCGTCTCACGAAATGTGTATTTATTTCGTAGACCGTATATTATTATCGGTAGACGGCCGCGTGACGATCGTCAATCGTCGTCCACCGTTTACACGCGCGCGTGTCTGATAGCCGTCTGCCCGGGCCAGTCGATTATTATTTTCGTTGGTTTTCAAAACACTTACCGCGTGTACAGTTTTATAATCATAATATTTACCGGCCGACCGCCGTGCGTTGTAATATCCGATTCGACCGGAAGCGGCGGACGGCCGCAGCGAACACTGCGCAGTCGATTATCCGCGTTTCAGATTCTAAAATGTATCCGTGACGCGTGTACCGGTAAACTACGGCGCTCGCCGTTTAAAACGTACGCGCGGCCGCCGCGACGGCGCAATCGAACAATCAAAATTGTTCGGCCGCTTATGGGCTCAACAATAAGCGGCGGCTTACCAGCGGCAGATCGTGTCCGGTTTTTAACGGGTGCCTGAGCGCGACACCGTTATTTCATAGCCTACGATCGAGTTTTCAAACGTAGGCTTAACAACGACACCTCGCAATGACGCGCGTTACCTCTGAACCCCGCGGGCCCCGGTGATATTTCCGCCGACTAAACGTGTTAACGGTGTAAAACACGCGAAAAGGTCTAATGCTTTTGCCCGTGCCGTTGTAAGACTGGTATATTGTTTATAATCGCGATGGCTGCTGTAGTAATTTCGCGTAACACGGACGTCGAACCGTGCAGAATTAGGCGGATCAGCGTCGAAAATTCTCAAAAATCTCCTCGAAACCTTATTAACAATAACCGTTCCGAGTAATTGAAAATGGTCGCATGGTCGTAAATACCTTAAGCCTACTTAAAAACAATTACGTTTGAAGAGAAATTTAAAAAAAAAAGTTACCGAGTTTTTGTGTACGAAATAATATAATATACAAACAAATGTGCCTTATTGGGCGTTTCAGCCTCCGATCCGTCGCATGGTGTTTCGGTTGTTTTGGTTATTTTTTCTCGAGTTTTCGAGTTCTCATACCCACAGTTCGTACGGGTATTATTTTGGCTGCGTCCCGATCATTTTTTTTTATACCGATTCCGTTCGGGTTGAAAAAAGAGATACACCAGTCCGTCGCTGCAAAAAACAAAAGTGCATATTATATACCCATTCCGCCAAAAAAAAAAAAAAAAAAACAGAAGGTTTGCTAAGATATTACTATATAAGTATGTTTTCATAATTTAAGCCACCATCATAATAATAATAATATTCAAAAAAAAAAGGACGGGCATACTTTGTGTGCAGCCACTTTAGTATACGAGGAGTTGGGAAGGTAGGCTACAGACGGGAATTTAATCCATATCTGTAAGCAACAATAAACCATTGTTAACGAAAAAACGATTTTGAGTGGAGTTCAGTTGATACTGATTGCTTTGTTAATAATATATATGTCATATTATGATAATACGGTTACAACAAAGTGCTTTTCCATGACAACAATGATTGTTTAAAAAAAGATTTAAAATTTTAAAATAATAAAAACTTAATAATAACAAAAAATAAATAAAAACGGTTGCCAATGACAACCTTATTTTTAATTTTTCAATCTAAAAAAATCAGGTTTTTCTCGTTATCTCGAATATCAATGAAAATTTCAAAAAAAAAAAATTACCTTTATTCTAAAGTACCTCCCGGAAAACATTTTCTTTCAGAAAAAGTGCTATACTTGATAATCGGCGTATGTTTATTGATAGAAAAAGTGTTCATATAAAAAAAAAAAAAAATGTAAACTTCATTGTAAAACCAATACATTCCTCGTTCCACTCTGAGAATCTAAAAATATTATTTGTTTTATAAATGACGCAGTGAAAAACCCCGCGGGGGTGTCGACGCGTTAAAACTTTAGTTTATATGTAACATATTTCAAACGCTTGCCAATCTGTGTATAGTATACAATGCTTTGCGCCGTTATTTTATGCACTTCCGCCGACGCATTCATTTTTAATAATTCAAATGTTACCGTTTTTCACTGTACGCCACGACGCTATCCATTTCAAATATAAATAATTTTACCGACCGACAGAGTTTGCGAAACAAATATCGTCTCCGTCGATTCTAAACAATATACTTGCATTGTAATCGTAGTCGCGCATTTTACATAAACCCGGGTGTTAGGTTCGACCGATCGACAAAAGTCAAACTCACAAACAACGCGCGCTAGATAAACGGGACGAAGTCGGTACGTGTCGCCCGTA